ACAGAAACGTTGGTGCTTGATGGAGAACAGCGGCAATTGCAGCGGTGCAGAGCATTTACGCGCGCGAAAACTTAATTTGGGTTTGAGAAAGCCACTGACCACTTAGCCGAAGCCAAAGCCAATGGGCTAGAGCAATTTGTTGGCTTAGTTCGTTCACAGTTTAACATGTTTTAAATGTCATAGAATAAGCCAGGGGTCCACTACCTTATGTTGCTATTTAAATACCATATCGGGTCAGGTCTGAACAAAACCAGCAAAAACGTTAAGATACTTCAGCGTATACGCTCAACGTAAACGGGATGTAGTACGTATATGTACATATTTAGAGCCTTGACTATTTTTGTTTGTTTATATATTTACAGTTTACGCGTATGTTCTATTTGCTAGGCGGCTATGACATTGCAGTTTCCACCTCAGAACCTACAAAGTACTGATTTAAATATATGTTCTGATGCGCGAAACGTAGTGAGGTTAGGAACTTACGACACACCACAGATCCTTCGGACATTGGTTCGACCTATTATTATTCTACTTTCTTTTCTAGAGAGGGGGTCATGACAACAGTTAAATAACTTCCCGTGTATTTCGTTAAAAGTACAGTTAGGGCCGAGTGTATACCCCCAACTTAACTAGCGAGCAGTAGAGACTGGTGAGTACAAGGTATTCTGCCTTGACGAGCGAGGACTTGCTCTGAACATATGGCGGAGGCGGCGAAGGCCGAGGGCCTCATGAAAGAGCTGCAAAAACTTAGATCTCGGTCACAGTCCTTTCTACAGAATCACGAACCAATAGGTGAGTAACATAGCTGGCACCGATCAGCTTCACTAGAGTGTAGTTCGCAATGGAATTGAAAAATAAATGGCTGTCGTGCTACTGTACTAGACAGTCGCGGGAAGAAGTAGCGTAGGTTTGATCGTGTCGGTATATTCATCCCCAAATCACAGTGCCTCTATCACCCGTAAGGCAAAGAAACTTCCCAAGGCCAGACTTAGCCGACAGCTTATGTGAAAAAAAGTTCCACGATTTGACTATAGTGTATAACACATGCTAGAATCGCGCCATTCCACTTTTTGTATGGATTGAATTTGAACCGTAGAGTAGTAGGTGCAACCAATCTCACATACATAGCCGTGTGTTTGATAATTTGTTTGCACAGCAAGTAGCACTCCAACAAAGCAAGATACGGATTCGTCCAGCCGTCTGGCGTTCCGTGAGGTCGTGGAAGCCGTCAAACATACGAATAATGCTATATTTGAGCTGTTTGTGAGGTATGCCTAAGGATTGACTGCTCCTCTACTGTATTCTTCGTACTCGATTTTTGCATGTGTTGGAAATACTTTGTGTGTGTGTGTGTGTGTGTGTGTGTGTGTATGTTTTAAATATGTTTCTTGCAGACATTTTTTTACATGCGTTCACGAACAGCATGTATATGAGTTACACTGATCATTGTGTTACCTATAGATATATGTGTCTGAACTTAGATATTACTATTATGCAATGTTGCCCCTTTGGCAGATTTCTTTGCACATTGCGTTCGTAAGCTCAAGAACATAATTCTATATCGCACCGTTCTTCCAATATTTATTCTTTTACAGACAGCAGTCAGATTGGAAACTACAAACAGAAAACTCGCAAAGTGATTGGCAAGTATGTGCACAGTCAGCAGAACTTAATTGGCCAATTGTCTTTACTTCTACCTTTCG